AAAAAAAAAAAAAAAAAAAAAAAAAAAAAAGAAAGTTGCCCTAAGCATACAGCTCAGTGAATTTTCAGAAACCAAACTACCTGGGTAACCAGCATCCCCATCAAGAAACAGAGCATAACGGGCTCTCTGGAAACCCTGTCTGGGCTGGTCACTGCCCTCTACCACAGGGGCAGCTGCTGTCAGGACAGTCATTCTAACCTTGGCTGAGCCTCATCTGGAAAAGCGGGATGTCACACAGACTTACTGCAAGGACTTACTGCAAACGACTGAAGGAGAAGCCACCATACTGAAGATAAAGCACAAAGCTCATAGCGGACACTCAATAGATGGTAGAAATTATCATTCAGGAAATGAGAAGGAACGCTAGATCCCAGCTCAGAAGGGAGAAGGTGAATCCCATCTCAGAATTGACCACAGCCTGTGAATTTGCCATTTGGGGGGAAGTATAATTGGGCTTTAAGCGCATGTGCTCTGAATTCAGATAGATAGGGATTCAGAGTCTCGCTCAACCAGTTTCCTGTGGGACCCTCGGTCTGGGCGAGGCCCGGGCATCAGTAAGTTTTAAAAGCTCCCTGGGTGACCCTAATGTACAGCCAGAGCTGAGAACCATGACTCTGAACCTCCATTTCCGCCTCTGTGAAATACAGATTTAATGAGTGGCCACAACACATGGGGTATTTTGTAGACTCGATAGAATTATGCATGATAAGATAAGCACTTAGCACAGACTTTGTCCCACGGGAAACACTCAGTAACTCTTCTGCATTATTCTGTTACAGCCTCCGGTTATACATTTGGTCTCAGAAGGGGGTCACAAATGTTTTCTGGAAAGGTCCAGATAGTAAATGTTTTGCTTTGTGGACTCTACAGCTTCGGGTGCATCTATTCAACTCTCCTGTGATAGCATCAAAGTAGCCATAGGTGGTACATGCCATCATGTCCACCACTGAAGCTCTACTTATGGATGCTGAAATTTCAATTTCATGTAATTTGCACATGTAATGAAATAACCATTTTTTGTTTATTTTTTTTTTAATATTTTTTGTTTTACTTCTAGGAGAGAGAGAGAGACAGCATGAGCAGGGGAGGGTCAGAGAGAGAGGGAGACACAGAATCTGAAGCAGGCTCCAGGCTCTGAGCTGGCAGTCAGCACAGAGACCGACGTGGGGCCCGAACCCACGAACCGCGAGATCATGACCTAAGCGAAAGTCGGACGCTCAACCAACTAAGCCACCCAGGCGCCCCGAAATAACCATTTTTTGTTTGTTTGTTTAGCCATTTAAAAATATAAAAACCATTCATAGCTTGGGCTGTCCAAAGCAGATGGTAAGCTGGATATGGCCCACAGGCTCACCCTTTGTTTACTCTTCTCTTTTACTATTCATTTCTCCACGTGATAAAGGGTAGGGTAAGGTCCCTGAATTTTTGTATGTTCATTTGTTCATTTTAGGGCTCTTTCTAAATTATCTTAATTTCTCTCTTTCCCTCTTTATCCCTCCCTGTGTCCGTTTCTTTCCCTCTCTCACCTCTCCCTTTACATCCCTTTCTACCTCCCTTTCCCTCTCCCTCTTTCCTCTCCCTCTCCATCTCTAACTCTCTGTGGCACACTGCTGTGCTAGGCTGGGCTGTGCAGAGGTCTGGTGCCGGAAATAGGCCCAGGACCTGTGTTCCAAAACCCTGGCACAAGATCAGTGGTTTCTGCCAAATTCCAAGCTTGTGGTGAGACTTTTCAAGCCATCCCCTAGCAACTGCCTTCTGTTCTCTCTCCCTTTGTGGCCCCCTCTCTCCCCACCCCTGCCATTCAGACTTCCCTAGACACTGACTTACAAAGAGGACTGGGAATCCCAGAGCTGCTGTACTGGAGTAAATCCATCTGCGGCCCCCCTCCCCCCAGACTGGAGACTTCTCTTGGTCCTGGAATGTTAACTAGGTTTACAGTGCCTGCTCCACTTCAGAGTCATGCGTGGAGATCCCCCAAAGACTGTGGCCCTCTGTTCTAATTTCCACTCCTTCTCTCGCAGCACCCAAAGGCCAGGGTACCATAGTTTCTCCCTCCTTTTATTTGTTTAGGTTTCTTTAGTGCATATAGTCAGAAGACTGGATTTTTTTAAAGATCCACAAGCAAAACAAAATTCTAAGAGTATTAGAAAATAAAAGAGAATATGATCACAATGCTAGGGTGAAAATCCTTGTATTTGCCTCCTTGGGAAGTTGTGTGTGTTTGTCTAGGGCAGAGGTTGAGAAATAGCATTGCCGGCCCCAGGGCATGTGTGCTTTATATTTTAATAGGCATTGCAGAATAGTTCTCAAATAAGATTGTATTAGCAAATGCTCCCACCAGTAGCGATTAAGAGGACCCTTAAGCCTACTCCCTCTCCAATGCTCAATATAATCTAACTATAATACTTAATCAAGAATATGTATGTGTTTTGTTTTAGAAGATACTGCTAAACTGACTTCAGGGTGTAAATTGGCTACCCTGGTGTACGTTCCCTGCAGAGATATGCCTATTTTCCGTGCCTTCACCAGCACTTGATAGTATCTGATATCTATATATTTTGCCACCTAAAGGGTGAAAAGATATCTACGTTAATCATTCTTCTCGTTACAATTGAATTTTTTTTCCTTCCCAGAAATGTTTAGATCGGATTCCCGATCAAAAAGAAAAGACTTCCATAGTCATTAAGCACTTGTAGTGGAGTTGACAGCGTTGGATGGGAAACCTGGCTGTACCACTTCGTGGTCTGTGACAGCAGACCAAGCCTGTCAACTGTCTGATCCTCAGCTTTTAAATCTGTAAAATGGAGACAGTAATCGCTTTCAGTGTCATTTTAAGGCCTTAGCATAGCACCTGGCACTTGGTAAGCCTTCATTAAATGCTGGTCACTGTGGCATCTGCCACATTCTTAGGGACATGCTCACCGTGTGTTCCCGTGTTCAGTGGCCCGTTTATGTGTAGATCAAGAAGCTGTGAGGCGAGGGAGGGAGAGCAAGGAGTCTCTGTTAGCACCGGCCCCCATCACCGGGCAGGGGACGTTTTGGGCATCGGGCTGGGACTGGAGATCCAAGAGCTTTTCTCCCCATCGGGAAAATCCCAAGGGACACTTCAGTTTGTCCACAGGCTCACTGAGCCAGCTAACTGGATGTCGAGTTCCCTGCTTTTGGCTGGAATTCCTTTAACTCAGTACGGTAACACGGTCTCCTGCTGATCAGATGCCTGGCAGTTATGTATGTCTTTGAGAAGTAAAGATGGGACTAAAGAAAAATTAGTAACTAATAAATGCAGTCTATTTGCCACAACTCCTCCCAACCCCAGACTCCAAAGGGAAAGAATGATTGTGGAAAATATCACCAAAAATAAACTCTTTGTAACAAATGCTGCCACAACACCATTGGATATCCATATAGAAAAAAACCTCTGAGGACCGCATACAAAAATTAATCTGAAATAGGTCATACAGTAAAACTATAAAACTACGAAAATAAAATATAGAAGAAATTCTTTACAAAATGGGATAGGCAGAGATTTCTTAGGCAGGACAGAAAAAAACACAAACCATAAAAGAAAAAAAATTTGCCAGGTTGGACTTTATCACAATCAAAGTTCTTTGGAAGATACTATTTAGAAAATGAAAAGGCATGCCACAGACTTGGAGCAAATGTGTGCGAAGATTCCATATCCAGAAGATGTAATGAACTCTGACATCTCAGTAATAAAATGCCAACCCAATTTTTAAACAGGCTAAGTACTCTGACAGATACTTTGCAAAGGAAAATATATGCATGGTCACTAAATACAGGAAAGTGCAAATTAAAACCACGATGAGATATGAATACACCCCCAGCAGAGTGACTGAATTTCGAGACTGACAATACCAAATGAGATGAGGAACTGGAATTCTCATAATATTGTTGGTGTAAATGTAAAATGGTAAAACCACACTGGAAAACCAGTTTGTCAGTTTCTTAACGAGGTAAACCTATACTTCCTGTATGACCTCTCTTTCTAGGTATATATGTTATAGTCTGAATTGTGTCCCCACCCACCCATTCATATTCATACACTAAAGCTCTGACCCTCGCCCATACCTCAGGATGTGACTGTAATGTAGAGGCAGGACATTGAAAGAGATGAATAAGTTAACACGAGGCCATAAAAATTTGGGTAGGTCATAGTCTGATATGGCTGGTGTCCTTGTAAAAGTAGGAAATTTGGGCACAGAGCGACATCAGGGATGTGCACACAGAGGGAAGACCATTAGAGGACACACCAAGAAGGTGGTCATCTATCTGCAAGCCACAGAGAGAGGCCTCGGAGGAAACCAAAGCTGCCCGCACTTTGATCTTGGACTTCTAGCCTCCAGAACTGTGAGAAATACATTTCTGTTAGTTAAGCCCCCCAGTCTACGGTATTGTGCTGTGGCAGCCCCAGCAGACTAATGCAATAGCCAAGAGAAGAGAAATATCTACATAGAATTGTAGATGAATGTTCTCTAAGAAGCTTTATTCATAATTGCTAAGAAATGGAAGCCATTCAACCGTTCATCACCTGATGAATGGCTATATGCATTGATATCTGTTCATCCTACTGGGAATACTACTCTTCAATAAAAGGAAGTGGCCAGACACCAACATAGTTCAGGGACAAAAGAGCACACACACTGTCTGATTCCACATATGTGAAATGCTAGAAAACTCAGATTCAACCTGTATCAACAGAAAGCTGATCAGTGGTGGGCTTGGGGTGGGGAAAAATTAAATAGGAAAGGCTACAAGAAATCTTTCCGGGTAATGGAGTGTTCTATATCTCAAGTGTGGCAGTGACTACACAGAATACATTGGTCAAAACTCATGAAACTGTACAGTAACAAGAATGCATTTTGTTGTATGGCACTCAGACCTCACTAAATTTTTTTATTTGTTTAAGTATGTTCTTGATTATAAAAGATTTGGAAGCCCTGCCCTGGGTGCATTTAAAGACAGGTGAGCATCTCAGAGTGGTCTCTGGGCAGGTAACCAAAGCTCTTTGTCATCACAGGAGGTACGAGGAGATCAGCGAGAACGAAGTGGCAGAGGAGGGAGAGGAGGATGTTTTTGCTGAGAAAGCCTCACCGCACAGGGATGAGTGCCCAGCGTTAAAGGTAGGCAGCGCCAGGGAGGCAGGAACAGCTGTCTTAGGGAACGAGCCCTCAGCGCTTGAGTCGTGGCATTCCAAAAACACTCCTACAGCATTAGGACACAGGCCCTCGGGACGGGGTGGCCTATGGAAGGTTGCAGAGGAGTGTCCCTGCCTATACTTCGGGTTATCTCTGACGGTCAGCCAGGGGAGGCTGGCTCTCCCCTGATCTCTCCCGCCCTTCACAGCTCCCCTGTTTCTCTGGACTGACCTCAAGCTTGGCAGCCAGATGGGTCTGGGTTCAAATGCTGGCTTGTCTACCCTCTCTCTGTGCAGTCTTAGGCAATGCCTCCATCCCTCTCCAGCCTTCGTTTGCTCATCTCTAAAGTAGAGACCATAATAGCAACCTTGCAGACAGGCTCTAAGGTTTCAGAGGAATATATTTCTTCATTTGGATCTTCCCAAAGTACAATAGGAAAAAAGAATCCAGTCCAGCTCCCCTTGCCACCTCCTTCCCTGCTACACTTAGGGTTACACACTATAATCAGCTTCACTCTTCATGGAGGTCTCTCTTGTTTTTTCCACCGGCAGGAAATAGAGCACCCTATGGTGTGCAGGCAGGGGTGGAGCTGCATGTTGTGCACTGCACAAAAGTATCTGGCCAGGAGGAGCTGGAAAAGAACCTAGGGCTGCCTTCCAACTGCTCCCCACCAAGATGCCACAGTCTTCTCCAGCCAAAGCAGGCACCTTTTTCAAAATTCTAGAAAGGCACTGTTTTGGCTAACGGCCCTGCATTTAGACATTCTTGTTTGTCTTTTGCCGGTAACTATGAAAGGACAGTAGAAAACCAATCTGAGATTTCCAGGTTGCCTCCGTGATTCCAAGAAAGCACTAGGCTGCAGCAGTAGAGGCCTTGGATGTGGCTTTGTCAGAATGTGGTTGGAATGTAAGTCCTGAGGGTATGAAGTGGAGGACACCATCCATATACTGCTCACATGAACTTGTCTGGGGACTGAATATGCTCCAGCCCACAGGTGTCATGGAGAAATAGGGGCCAGCACTTGGGGCCTTGGCACTGTCCTGGCTGGCAGGGACATGGCCTAGGAAGCCCCTAGCTGTGTCTGTGGGCCACAGGCCAGATGGCAGAAGTAGGGAGCAGCTGGGGCATTGGCCCTGCAAGTCTGGCTGGGTAGCCGAGACACTGTGGATACGAGTGGCCTCAAAGCTCTGACTTCTTCAGGTGGACAAAGAGACCAACACAGAGACCCCGGCCCCATCTCCCACAGTCGTGCGGCCCAAGGACCGACGGGTGGGCGCACCATCCCCAGGGCCGTTTCTTCGAGGGAGCACCATTATCCGCTCTAAGACCTTCTCCCCAGGACCACAGAGCCAGTATGTGTGCCGGGTAAGCAAATGCGTGGTACCGCCCCCCTCCCAGAACACCTGCTTCCCGTAGGGTAGTGAGAGCCTTCAGCCTCACAGGGTTCTGGCTGCAGATTCTGATTACTCTCACTTTATCGGGTATCCTCAGGCAAGTTTTTAACGCCTCACCTCATGTGGAGTTAATAGACCGACTTCAAAGGATTGTTTTATGGGTTGGATTAGAGAAAGTGTAGGAAAAGCTTGGTAACCAGTACATGGCCAACATTATTTATAATTCCAACCAACTTTCCCCTTCTTGTTTACATCCTGCCCTGCCTGCTGGGATCACACTGACCCCTCACCGTCCCTGAGCCGACATTTCTTCTCCACTCCCAGGGCGATCCAATGTGCACCCCAAAGTGGCAAAAAGGCAACATGCTTGTGCTATTTAGTCACGAGTTTGGTTTTAATTGAACCTGTTGATAACATTGAAAACTTAGGGAGGGCAACTAAAAATAAAATAAAGATATAAAATTCTAGTTTCTCTTGGGAAAATAAACTGGTACCATGGGCCACGCGCTGTCTCATGGCAGCACCTGGCTGGAGCTAAGCAGTGGGGCAGCTGCCCTTAGATGATTGGAAAGAAGGGCTTTCAAGTTCACTCTGGCCACCTGGCCCTCTTTACCTGTTTCGGTTGCTAGCCTTCTCTTACAGGCTGCCCTGGAGTTTAGAAATCCTGCAGGAGGCTTTTGCTCCCTCATGCCTTTACCTGTCTGTCTCATTAGTCTACCCCTTCTAGGCCAGCCTCTTTATTCCCTTCTGTAAGTGAAGGGTTTGAGCACTTACCACGTCTCAGGGGTTCCCAACCTTCCTCAGGGATGACACAGATATGACACATGCACACCTTACCTGAGTCCTGTGTCCGCATCCTTCCTTCCCCTCTGCACAGAGAACCAGTGACCAACAACCACAAGCATAAACAGAACCTTGCTTGTCTAGTGTTCCAATAAGTCATCACAGAAGGAAAGGCCCAAGGCACTCGCCTGCATCAGCCTGTCACTTAACCACCTATTGTTAATGGGAAAGAGGAGAGATGTTGAGGAGCATTTTCTTCTTCCTTTTTTTTTTTTTAAGTTTACTTATTTACTTTGGGAGAGACAGAGAGAGTGTGAACAGGGGAGGGGCAGAGAAAGAAGGAGAATCCCAAGCAAGCTCTGTGCTGTTAGTGCAGAGCCTGATGTGGGGCTTGAACTCCTGAAACTGTGATATCGTGATGTGAGCTGAGATCAAGAGCCTGATGCTCAACTGACTGAGCCACCCAGGTGCCCCAAGGGACATTTGCAATATCTGATATTCAGTATCCAAAGCCAAAATTATAAGATTGAGTCGAAGCTAATTTTTTCATAATATGGCAGTGTAACCAGTTTAAAAGCTAGTTGCCAGTTATCCCTCGGGTCCCTCCCAGAAATAACAGAAACTCCTCCCTTCTGTGTCAAGCCTCTAGCTAATCAGTTGAGCTTGTCAACATCTACCCGTTGGCTGCCTATCTTGGGAAAGGTACAGAGTTTCCTGAAGTCAGTCATTGAATGTAAGTGTGATGTTAGGGAATTCCTGAATCACAGCTGAAGAAGAGAAAAATCCAACTCATGCTGCAAATGTGAATAATTTGAAGGATTTAGAAAAGTCCTTAGGGTAATGGACAACTGGTTTTGGCAAAATTGCCATTTTTGTGACTGTGCCCTGGAATTCAAACACAAAGTGAAGAATATCACTTGTCAGAAAAATCACATCAAAAGAAATGATTGTTTGATTCATTCTTTTTCATCAGAATTCAAATGCAGTTGTAATTTTGTCAAATGGAAGACAGAAGATAGGACTTTTGTAAAGTGTTTCTCTTTTCCAACTAAAGTCTCAAAGTTTTTGCCCCAGTATTTACTAGAAGATTCTGGTGCCCTGTTTAGTGGACTCCCTCTCAGTGGCTCTTTCCCAGGATTGGCATCTTCAAATAACAAGGAACTCTGATCCTATTTCTTAAGCATCTATAACACACCTAGCACCACAGTGGGCCCTTCTCATATTTCATTATCTGAACCAGTTTCCAACCCGGAAAGGCTGCAAATTAAGAAATTCTCAGGCAGGGTGTATCACGTGCAACAGATGGAAAGGGCCTTTCGTATGGCAAAAATACAGTGGCATAGATCAGAGAAGCAATTACCATTATTTTTTATAGAAAACATTTTTCATATTCCTAGACCTAAAAAGTAACCTCTCTTAGGCTTTTCTGATGCCTTAGGACACATCCTGGTAAAAGATATGCAGAATTAATGGAGATGAAACACAGATGCTCACAGACATAGTTCAAGGCTATGGCCGCCTGATGTTGAGATGCTTGGTGTGGTCCTGGGGAAGGAGCTCAGAGGTGCCCCTGTCACACTCAGGGTGCCACTGCTTCCGTGAAGGCTTGCTGCAAAACAAACACTGAGTGATGTTTTTATCTTTTTACCTTTTTCATGAAAGTAAAAATCCTTTTCACATTTCTTTCAACTAGTGATAACAGGCATCAATGTAGGTTTTTTGTAAAAGCAAAGTGGCATAATGTGAACTTTCAAAATGCAGGGTTACCAGTATTTTTCATTTTATTGTTTTCTGACTGCCCCACTTCAGCCCCAGGTTGTCTCTTTCTTGTAAAATCTTACTGAAGCCTGGAAGAAGAGGCCAGTGGCACAGCATCCTGAATTTTCTCCTACCATTTCCCCAAAAACTCTGATGGCATGCGGTCTGGTAACAACTTCACCCTCTGTTTTGAACCCACAAAATGAGTATTACCAGACTCCCCCCAGGAAATATTGGGGTCTGTGCCCCCAGGAAATATTGGGGTCTGTGCCCCAGCCGGCCCCCAGTACACAGCCAGCCCCGCGTTTTCCAGCCTGGGCTTCTGGCACTTCCACTTCCTCCCATCAAGTCCTGTGCCTGTCAGGGTTCTTAATGGCAAGCGATGGAAACAGATGTGAGCAGTACATGCAAGAATACGTTTTTGGAAAAGAAACCAAGGAGCTCACATATTCATTGGAAGGTTGTAGAACCAGCCTCAGAAATCAAGTGGGAAGAGGGGCAGGCCAGACTCCAGCTAAGATCATCCCACGAAACCAGTCTAGTGAGGATAATACCAGTGCTGCTGCCGGACACAGCCCAGTGGGTCCCACTGCTGCCATGGGGGTTCAACACTGATTCGTCCCCTTAGAGTCCTGTCCCTGCAGGAAGCCAGGGAAGCTGTGGTTGCTGCTGTGGACACCACTCCTCGCCAGGAACGGCTTCTCCCTGAGATACTCCCAGATATGGCACACTCCTAGAACCAAAGCAAGTGGTCTGGTGACATCTGAGGGGCACAGTAACAGCATCGGGTCCAGCTTGCTAGATTAGGATTCAAAGCCCGGGGCGGTTGCATGCAATGGACAGAGCCTAGTCCCATGCCTGCTTCTAGCTGCAGGGGAGACTGGGAAAGCAAGACCCTGGCACTTCCTGCTTCCTTAGTGGAAGGTGGGCTTTGTCTCCCACCATGAGTCGTAAAGTAGAGATTTCCCTACCCATGGGATGGAGTTTCAAATTCTAATTGGCAACGTTTCCCTACAAAAAGACATCTTATGCATCATCTAATCTCAGAAACAACTCTGCAGGGCAAATCATGTTTTCCCCATTTCACAGATGCAGAAACTGAGACTCAGAAAGTCAGATCACTTTCCTCTGGGTCACACACTTACTAGGTGCAAATCCGGGAGTCTGACTCTAGAGCCCACAGCCTTTCTATTACTCAGAGCTAACTCCCAAAGGACTTCCTTTGCCCTTTCCCAGGGTACAAAGGAATAGTTTATTTTATAGCTGACCTGATGCCACATTTCTGCACCCCAAGTGTCCTCTGCTGGGTATCTCCCTTCTTTGGTCATCAGCACAACCTGTGTCACTTGGTTAGTTTCCCTGGATTGGTCCCCCACTGAACTTGAAGTCCGTGAGTGCAAGAACAGTGTTCCACTCTCTGCAGTTCTCCATGACCCCTGTGTATCTCACAGCTACAGATAACCAGCAGTGTTGTCACATGTGTTGGTTGGCTCATCCTGACCTGATGAAAACACGCCTTCCAAAATTCTCATTCCTGAATTAGCTGCCCAGAACTGTCAATTATTTCACCTCCTTGTTCCTAGTTTCCCTAACTATTACATGGAAACCATAACAAAGCAACAGTATTCTCTACCAGGTCTGAGATTAAATGCAGCCAAACATCTTTACATAAGAACAGTTAAGTTTAAGGACCTAATGTGGTTTTCATCATTCTTTTTCTACTATTGTCTTTAACCCCAGAACAACTACAATATAAGGATCAGTTGTCCTGATGAGTATTTCTAGTTGGTATGACACACATTCTGTGAGTGCCACCTTTGGACTAGAGCAGTGTGGGATAAAGCCCCCTCCTGGTATGATATCCAGCCAGTCTGTTTTTATGAAACCACTCCAGTCAAGATGGTCCACCCCTCCATCTCTAAATCAGTTTGATCTCTGAGCCCTCTGTGCATCCTGGGGCCCAGGAGGGGACTCAGCCTTAGAGTCAGATTGACTGGACCTTGAACTCTTGTTCTGATGCTCCCCAGCCATGTGGTTTATAAAAGGGTCTTAATCTCCCTGGGCCTCAATTCCCTCTGTTGGGATTGTTTGAGGATTAAATGTGACTGTCCATAAAGCACACGGCAAATACTGTTACTGTTACTCTATTTCTGGTTCTGGTGAAGACTGCCTCCTGCAGCAGCTTTTGTCAGTTACATCCCTGGGATCGCCACATCTGTCAGCATTGCAGGACTAATAATATCAGTACTTACTAGTACTTGTCAGTAACCACAAAAGTAATGACACAAACACTGGGAGAGGCCTGAGAAGTGCCAGAACAGTCTCTGCAACATCCGCCTGTGGCGGTCCCACTGCCTTGGAAATTTGACTTGAGAAAGAAGCCCGTCCCCACATGTCCTGGGCTGTGCTGCCGTTCCAGCCTCCCTCTCCGGTCCTCCTCTGTCTGGGGCACTCTCAGTAGAAAAGCGTCCTTTTTGATCTCTGGCCGTTGGGGGAACGGGGGAGGGAGCTATTAGCCCTCTGGGGAGAGTCCAGATAACTGAGTGATTGAAGGGATTCTGAGGAGGGTGAGGGCTCACAGAGCTGGTCTGCCCTGTCTTATCTTATATATTTCATATATGTGTATCTTAACAATTGTTCCATTTGAGCCATAAAGGTGAGCTCTACGGGTGACAGGAAGAGTGGATGCAAACAAGGCCTTGGTGTAGTAGGTCAAGGGGGCATGAGATGTTGGAGTCACACTGTCTGGTGTCAACCCCACTGTGCTGCTAACCACATGGGAATCTCACCACCCTTCTGGCCCCAGCGTGCCTTCCAGATATACTCTGGCCCTAATTAACTTCCCAGGACTTTTCTTCTGCAGCTGAACCGAAGTGACAGTGACAGCTCCACGCTGTCCAAGAAGCCACCTTTTGTTCGAAACTCCCTGGAGCGGCGGAGTGTCCGGATGAAGCGGGTAAGACAGTCACCGCAAAGCCATTTGTACACCTGCTCCACCATCATTCCCCCACCCCCGCGAGCACAACCCCCATGTCTGAGCATCGCTTTTCATCCATTGGTTGGACAAAGTTGCTTTTGCCAGCATGGTGCTGTTTACCAACTGTAAAGCCTGTATAGGCACTGGGGAAAGTGCCAAACGTAAATGTAACATTATTTATGATGACAGATAGGTTAGATTCAGAGTATGGTAGTCGGCCTGATCTTCCAGGGTAGAAATCAAAGTCACCGAGAACTTACGAATTCAGAATCTCACAGTCGCTGATAGAAGCCTGCCTCTTGCTCCACTCTGCTCAGCGTGTCATCCAGCTGACGGAGCAAAGGTCCTGACAGCCCTCCCTGCTGG